GTATCAGTTTATATGTTAAGCCCATATACTTTATTCTAGTTGCTGGCCTAGCCAATTCTCCTATACATTATGAGTCATATTTTGATCTTGTTAATCATTTGCTTATTAACCTTGACCATACTTTTATATGAGCGCATATGTATGCACACTTCGTATCTTATTCATCATATGTCTGTCACTCATTTTTGTCCAACTATAAATGTTGATTAACGCTTGCTTAAATCGAGTTGGCTTCCCAACCATCTCCAATACGCATTGTTTTCGCTTCGCTCTCGAGTTGGCTTCCCCGCCATCTTCACTGCATGTCATTTTCGCCTCGTTCGCTTTTATTCGCTTCATCATTCTGATTCTCTGGCCAGATCGACGAGTGTAGAAAATATATGTGTTCTAAATCCATTCTCGTATTTGACTTATTTGACTCCGTTATTCGCCAGCGCGGATTAATTCATATATTACATACGAGGATAGACAGTACGTATATTTTGACAACAAACAATCATTCATACGATCAAAAATGTATCAGATTTAGGCCACTACAATAGGTCATATCCTGTGTAAAATGCCTGGTCTACAGTGTGGAGTAGTTTTGAAAAATTGACTAAATGACAGTTTTTAAACCTTTCGTCTTCATTGTCTCTTTAGATGATTTCACCAAAACTTTAAACCTAGATTCAATCACACTCTCTCTAATTATTAAAATGTTGATTTTCTTCATACAGTTTTTGACATAACTTCACAAAAAAAGAATACTACAATTTATAATAGTTCGATACAACAAATTCTTCTGAAAGTTTATCTACTTATATTTATTGTTAAGTAACAGTCAAGTAGTCAGTATATTTAATACAAAATAAAACATGAAATACTTTTGAACCTGTACATTCATCAATTGCGCTTAGTTTGCAATTATAAATCTTAACAGCTGAGATCATAAATCGATTGATGTTAGAGCACCATTGAATACTTGGAAGCACTGGACGGCTGTTTCGTCCTAGTCTAGGACTATTCAGCAGTGCGCATCTACGACCTCCTCGTGGGATTCGAACACATAACCTTCGGTCTCGCGTTTGAAGGCTTAAACTCTAGACCACGGAAGCGACATCCAACAGTTTTTATATCGAACTTCAATCAATTCACAAAATTGCTAAGAAGTTCCATACTACGACAAAGTGGCCGTCCAGTGCTTCCAGGTTTTCAGTGGTGATCTAACACTGATCGATTAATGATGTCAATCAAAAACTTAACCATCTCCGCAACCTCATAGTTAGGCTAACTAATTTAAGGTAGTATTAATTGGTATTTCATTATTTTTAATTGTATGTGTGGATTTTTAGAAAACATGATTAGAATGTCTACATATGATAAATGGTTACTCACGGTACTGAGTTAGTAGCTTTTATATTTTGTCTCAATCCTACAAATAAATCATAATTTATCGTTATATATTTACGATTGAAAAGAAAATCTACATTTACTACTGTCAATATAAATCTCTAGGAAAATCGTATTAACCATAAGATTTAATCACAAATGATAGTAATTATGACTCTTATTATATATAATATACCCTTGTGGGCCAGGGTAATTCTGCATTGGTTTTCAGAAGAACCAGACACTATATGGGCTTCAACGCTACAGTCTGAACAGTACAGCTTAATCCTGTGGAGCAACCACACAGGTACCAATCACCCTAGTGAACCAAATTATGCCTCAAGATTTCATTAAATTCTTAGTTTCAAGTAGTTTAGGTATTCTTACGGTTATGTAACTACAGTGTATTATATATTACATAATTCATGTAATCATATGCTCACTATTGGCTGACTTCAAGAGGTATTTCCTGGAGTTCTAGTGAGAAACAGTAACCAGTGGAGTTCAATCAGGTCTGTTGTGAGATATTAACTCACTGAAGACAATGGTAGACGGTTTCTCAGTTTGGTGGATTGGGTGAAGTTAGACATTAACACCGTTGGATATTGGCCAGCCCAGTGGTCTAGTGATTAAGCGTTCGCGCGCGAGACTGATAGGTCCTGGGTTTGAATCTCGTGAGGCGGAATCGTGGATGCGCACTGATGAGGAGTCCCACAATAGGACGAAACGACCGTCTAGTGCTTCCAAGTTTTCTATGGTGTTCCAGCTTCAATTGACTCATGATCTCAACTATATAAAATTATTTTAAAAAATCTCCAGAAAACCCCCATTCTGATCATATGAATGTATTTATCAAGTAATTTTTGATAGGACAACTGATTGGATTATTAAAAGCACTATTATGTTTCACATTATAAGTAACTCAATATTTATTCCAATTAATAATGTCATAATTTCTAATGACCTACCAACCAATTCAAATATATCTATCTATCCTAATCATCCTAACACTTGTAAGTGTTTACTAACAAATTGATTTTACCTAGAGTGCTATAATTCATGCCTTATTAGGATGAAATGGTTGTCAAGTGTTTCTAGTCTTTCAATAGAGCTGTGGGGAGGGGCGGTAACTTGAATCAATTAATGATTTCAACGAAACACAATTATATTATTATTGATTACTTATTTTGACAATTATTTTGAGTTAATAATTATAATACCTAATGAAAGTATTAAGTCGGCTTACAGTAAACTCTATTAGAGCCTCCAGAGGCTCATAAAGAGCCCCAACCAATCAGCGATTAGTTAGAAGCTATGCTACTAAAATAACGAGATCCTGATTGGCTGTTTAAAACACTGCTACTATGGAAACTCAAGGTCTCTTAATTAGTATAAAACCCCTGTATTTTCTGTACATAAATGAATCCTGTGGTAAAGCGCTTCCCTCATACTTTGTACCTCTTCTCTGGTCTTCAAGTTGCTGTATAGTTCTAGCTCGGGGATACGGAACTAGCTTAGGGAGGCAAATATAGCGTGCACAATTGGCCAGACGTAACAGAAAGCTTGTTTAAAAACAATTTTATGATAATTTTATATAGTTGACATCATGAGTTAATTGAAGCTAGACCACCATAAAAAACCTGAAAGCACTGGACGGCCGTTTCATCCTATTTTGTGACTTGTATGAATCCCTGTTAATCATATGTTACTGGAAATAAGTGGATGTATATAGTTTTTGTCAAAGTACCTGTGGTGTGTGCTACTGATTTCGATAGATACAAGTAGTATATATCATCAGTCGAATATGAAATACTTTGAGGCAGAAGGTTAAGATGATCAAAAAAAGAGAACGAGGACAAAGAATGATTGGTTTGTAAATGAAAGAACAATGTAGTTTGAGACAATTGAATAACATTTTGCAAATGAAGTATTCACTGTATTATTCTCGGATTTTAATAAGATATTCTATAATTTTGTGTTTAAACACTTTTCGATTGTCCCCAATTGTGTTCTTATTCACTACAATACTACTTAATCATATCATAAAGCTCTTGGACTATTTTTTTTAACGTTGTAACGTTTTATCTCTTGATATGTAAAACAAGCGTAGTTGTCTTTTCTCCGCAATCTATTGATTAAATTAAGGAACAAAAAGTCCTTTGGATCGTTGATTAGTGAGTGTGTGTGTGTTCTATAATCTACGTTTAGATATCTGATTGTACCAAAGTAAATTTTACGAAATTGAAACATTAAGCTAACAAGTTTCGAACATTGAAAAGAAATAGCACATTATTGCTTTCATTAGTATTTAGGTATAAAATTCTTTTATTTAATTAATTAATTAAAACATTCGGCCAGACAATATATAATTTATGGACGAACGACCTTCGAACGAAACTTGAATGACCGTGAGAAATGTTAGCCAATCAGAAAACAGCCAGCATTATACAAAACTAAAGAATTAAAGTGGATACGCTTCTTTTATATGGTCCAAAAACTTCTCAATGTTAGAAAGAGGTTCAAAGGTTCTAAAATCGTAATACATACGGTAGAGGAACTCATCCACATAGCTTCATAATAGTCCATCTCTGGAGCCTCAGCCTCGACTACACAGCTCTAATATTATTTTTGTGTACTCCGGCTATGTAATTTCGTCATTTTTATTACGGGTATATCCCTACATTACTCATACCACTGAACAGCCGAAGTTTCAATAACATCTGCGATTATTGCAGCCAATAATACTGGTGTTTTTATTATACAGTTCGCAACAATTATTATAATTTATCTTAATCTCATTCTGAATCGAGTGAAAAAAGTTCCTTTTGTAGCAGACATCTTACTCCAACATATATTTCATCGAAGGACAACATCACGATAGTCTGCACAAGGTCTACAAGTCATTTGATTGCTTCAATTACAAATAAAGGAACTTATTAGTAGTCCATTTATTTTAGCCACTTAATTGTCACATCTCTACAATCCTCTGTGAACTGATTGTAAATGAGCATCAACTACTGAAATTAGCGCCATGATCTTGAAATCCCTCAGACGCTTCTGATTGGCCCACCCATAAATCATAGTCTCGCCAAGTATTTTAATTGAATTAAGATTATTCGTTGATAATCAATGTTAGAAACAAAAAATATAACATTGATTCACATTAAATTTTAATTAAGTTTAAACAAAATTATGGAATATGGATAGTAGCTAGTAGTGGAATCCAGTTTGATCTGTCTTTCGTCCTATTTGGGAGTCATAACCTTTGCTTATAATCCTTGTGAATTAACACTTTATCAAGGTGATACGCACAATATGCAAATATAGTCAATAAAAGACTGATGAATTGCAATGGAAAGATTCAAACAAGCAATATCAAATGAATTCAAACTTCACCATATTACATAATCAAATGGCTATCAAGACACAATAGCTAAGTGAATACCACGATAATAATCTAATGCTATCAGTACTAGGTTTGAATTCCAAAAAGTGAACTTGATCTCTGTTATGTAAAGTATATCCATCTAACGAATCTTAAATAGGACGAAACACCTGTCAAACTGGATTCGACTGCTAACCACTATTCATCTTTTCTTATATATTATGTAATATATTTTATAACATACCTTTTCAACATCTAAATTTAAAACAACTTCTTGATATTGTGATTTTATTTCTGTTTGATTCATATCCATTTTAGTATAAATTACATAATATGGATTCATTGATTTAATAATATTTAATGTTTTATTATATGGTATTAATTCAATAATCCATGCTGTTGATCTTACTTCTAAATTTAAATCATTTTTATTAGATAATATAGTTGATTCATTTGAATTAAATAATTTTAAACGTACATATGTACCTAATATATCACTCATTATAAACCATTTCATATTATATGGATCAATAAAATGGGTGCAATTTTGATTCCCTTGTGGTAATGTCGGTATTAAATGAATCATATTCATATGTGTTATAGAATAAAATTGAATTTTTATATAAATTTTATGTTTTGATGTAAGAATAGGGAATATATTACTATTATTAGTAGTAGTATTAGTAGTATTAGTAGTAGTATAGTTAGTATTAGTATTAGTAGTAAACCATTTAAATTCACCAATTGAAATTGTATTCGTTTTTGAATCATTTTCTGGATTAATTAAATGATCTAATAATTCAGTAGTATATATACCTAAATCATTCCAATTTATATGTAGAATATATTTAATTCTTGACCAATAATTAAGTGTACTATGTCTTTGTATATAACATTTAAGTTTATTATCAATTTCTTTATCAGTAGTATCTTTATTATGAGTAGTAATATTATCTTTATTAAATAATTTTGATTTATAATATAAATGATTCCAATCAATTATTAAACTCCAATCCATATTATCATATATAAATGTAGTTGTTTCTAATGATTTACATCGTAATAATTCTTTATTATCTCTAGGGATACGTAATTGTTCTTCATAGATTGTTATTAATTGACTTAATTCAACTTCTAATAAACATGTATAATTATCAAATAAATAATTATCATTAAATAATTGATTATTATTATTATTAATCAATAATAATAATAATTTATAAGATAAATTATTTGAATTAAAATATAAATTGTCTAATTTATTAATTAAATTTAATGTATAATCATGTTGATGGGGTATTGTAAATTTTATTGATTTTAAATGACATAACATACCATTTGATAATGGATTACATAAATGTATAGATATATTTAATGGTTTTTTATTATATTGAATAAATTGTTTAGTATTACTACTAATACTACTATTAGTAGTAGTAGTAGTCTTAGATTCCTTATCATTATTATCATTATTTGTATCTATATAATATTCTATACGTATAAACCAATAATGACCAGAATAATAAAATTTTTTAGATTGTATATTTTGTAAATAACCTTTAATAAATTGTGATGGTATTATAAATGAAAAAATTTGACTATCATTTAATTGAATAATTCGATATAATTGTAAATTAGTTATTTTATTTAATTTATTGAATTGATTATTCATCATTAATAATTTTCTTTTTTTCACTTTTTTTCTTTTCTTTTTTCTCTTTTTTCTTTTCTTTTTTCTTTTTTTTTCTCTTTTTTTAGAATAAAATATAATCTAATTTCATGATAATAAATAATATAATTCAATTTATTATATGTAAGTAAATGTTTCTATATGAGGAAGGATTATCCAAGATAGAATTGAATAGAGAGATTACTGATGAATAGTGAGTAGTCTATACTACTTTATGAAAGGGTATTAGGTAAATGTAAGTAATGAATTAAAGTTATATAATTGAATACAATGAATTCAATCCAAAATTTCTTTTCTTTTTCACGGTATTTATATATTTTAAGCTTAAATTTTTTTAGCCAATAGGAATTTTCTTTAAAACTTGAATCTGATTGGTTAATAATATGAGTCAACATTCTCATCTAAAGTACATCAATGAAAATATTTTAAAAAATAAAAATAAAAAATTTTTTTTTGTGAAACTGATGTCATTGAAAATTTACATTGATGATATTGTACATTGAAAACAAATTACTGATAACTATTAGTTATGTATAGTTGTTGTTTTTAAGGAATTAACGCTGATTATAATAAAATTCACATAATTGTATCATCAATTAACATTGGTAGCCTATTCGAATATCTGAGCTAACTTGTCTTGTTATCTAAACGTTCTAATGAACTATCTAATTTTGTTTGTTTTAATACGTCATCATTATGGCTATTATTTAGGTGAGTTTATGAAAAGTGTACAACTTTTCGTTGTACAAGTTACAAAAGACCCAATTAGAGATATCGTGATTGGTGGTATTATACATTGCAAAGAATATACATTAATCAGATGCTAATTCTTAAACTACTAACATCTAACTGGGGATCACTCAATATTTATTGTCAGGATTAATCTAGAAAGAAAGAAAACTTGCTGAAATACTTTGTTTTAAGAATTTTTTATTATATCAAAAATATAATATTGAATAAAGCTAATAATAATAAATCACTGAATAATCTTTATTGAGTATTTGTGGCAGTTAGTGGGAAGGAAATATATCTTGATTGTTTTCTTTTCTTTGCTATCATTTACACTAAACACTGACATGTTCACTGATGAGGAGTCCCAAACTAGGACGAAATAACTATCTAGTACTTCAAGGTTTTCAAAGGTGATCTAACATTGATCAATTCATGATATTAATATAAATTAAACAATCTCTACAACCTTATGCTGATATGAAATAATACTTACTTCATAACCATGAATATATAAATCAAAGTGTATAATATAATTTCAAAGATATTGGAAACCAATCATGTGTGAAGCCGATATTTCTTACTCACTTAATTAAGCCTGTTACCTCCCATGGAGCATAGGCCGCCGATTAGAATTCTCCAATCCACTCTGTCCTGGGCCTTCTTTTCTAGTTCTATCCAATTTTTGCTCATTCTTCTCATGTCTGTCTTCATTTCTCGACGTAATGTGTTCTTGGATCTTCCTCTTTTCCTTTGACTTTTAGGATTCCATGTTAGGGTTTGCCTTGTGACGCAGTTGGGTGATTTCTTCAATGTGTGTCCTATCCATTTCCAACACTTCTTACTGATTTCTTACTCCGCTGGAATCTGGCTTGTTCTCTCTCACAGTAGATTGTTGCTGATAGTATCTGGCCAACTGATCGGAAGTATTTTAAATAGACAGTTGTAAATATGTTGCTATTGATTTGGCCATCCGCGTCTTCACATCTGCATCAGATCCACGGTGTTCATTAATGATGCTGTCCAGATATGTAAAAGTTTTCACGTCTTCCAATGCTTTTCCGATATTTCATATTATACAAATTCTAAGATTTCAACAAAACTTTTTCAGTCACGGGATCAAATCCATCAGAGAGCAACAATTTCCTCAAGATTACAGGTACACAATGCAGACGAGTGCCAAGTAGCACGAAACCCTGGTCCAGGGTTTCCTGTTAACCACCTCCAACCACCATCTTATCTCAATATAGTGCACGCAGTATCGAGCCACCTAGACTTGTAGCCATATTACAACTTGATCGATAGCATTCGATCAGCACTAAGAAGGACTTGACACTCATGACATTGATCACCACCCAGTGATTGATCAATCTTCAGTTATCAGTACTTTCGATAATAATAATCAACAAATGGATTGATTGATACTCGGTGATAAATAAGCTCACTTAACAGATACTTCATTTAAGTGTTTGAAGGTCTTCATATTATGTTTTCAATTTCATTGAATTTATCGTTACTGAAATAACTTTACATGCATCTGATTAATCCTAAATAAAATAAAACATTTAACGAACATTCTACTAGCTAAAACTTTTCATATAATGCTTAGTCCTACTACTCTCAATAGAAAAGAAGGCCTCACTATTAATCTGACTTGAACTATCTATCCGAGCTACCATACCTGATATTCACCTTTCACACTATTATCGTGGTATATCAGTGGTTTATCGGTTGAGTGCTCTGGCGCGGGACTGGTAAGTCCTGGGTTCGAATCCCACTAGGCGGAATCGTGGATGCGCACTGCTGAGGAGTCCCACAATGGGACGAAATGGCCGTCCAGTGCTTTCACGTTCCCGATGGCAGTCTAGCTTCAATTGACTAATAACTTCAACTATGAAAATACTGAAATCTCTACATAACCCATTCTGATATTATCGTATATACAAATTAAACTCCATCCTTTTGCACCACAAAGGTCATATTTTTTCATTCCTGAGCCTGAACACAAACACACACAATTTATATACATATCGTTCATAAATCACCTGGACCGAAATGATATGACATTGACTTGTTCAGACCTGTTTCATGATTAATCACATAATATTTGAGTTTTGTTTCTTGGTGCTGTAGTGAACAAGAACGTAGGTGGGGACAATCAAATGTATTTGAACACAAAATAAAATCTGACAACCATACAGTAAACCGTTAATTTGCAAAATAACAATTAATTGTTTCAATCTTGACCGTTTCTTTTGCAAATATGAGTCCATAGTATCCGATTATTATTGTTCATGCATGTTCATACCAATTGCTCTTCGTTCGCGTTGTTTCCTTATCGATCTTCTACTGAAATACATTTAATGCCCGACCGTCATTATATACTACTTATATGGATATATAAGTGACCCACACCACAGTAATATTTAAACTTGAATTTGTAAAAGTTTATATATGAATAAAGATGTGCTATTTCAAATTTTCGTAAGGTATTACTATCTACAACATTCTGGAAATTATTCACTTTTTTTACATTACGACTGATTTAAACTAAACCCCTATAGAAAGCCCCAGACAATCATTTCTCCCCAGTATAGGACTCCTCAGCTGTATAAACATACAACCTAACTACAGTAGATTGAAATCATAAATCGAAGGTCATGTGGGGAATGTTTGTCTTCTATATTACTAAGACAGCATCTTATAGTATACATATCCGACTTTAATTAATCCACGATATTTTGCAACCATTTCCCAACGCCATTGATAAGTCAATGTTCCCCATCTGAACTAATTGTATTTCACTGCGTTTTTATATAATAAATATGACATAGTAGTGACAACAAATTACATTTAGATCAAAATTTATCCTAAACATACTTTGACAAGAAATTGTTCCTTTTTTCCACATTAAATAAAAGATATCATTTGTAGTCCTAATGTTTGGAAAGATCAAGAGCATCATTTATTTTGTTCGTATATTGTGACCTCCCTAGGTCATTCGATTGACCTTTAGAAGGTTCTTGATGTCAATATTTTTAATCTATTTTAGGAACTAATTCAGTAAATATTACAAGGCAAGCTCTAACTCGGAATCCTGAAGGAAAATGGTAAAAAGGAAGGCTAAAGAACACATTACGTCGGGAAATAGAAGCAGATATGAAAAAAATGAATAAAAACTAGATGGAACTGGAAAGGATTGCCCTGGAAAAAGGTGAGTGGAGAATGTTGGTGAGCGGCCAATGCTCTTCCACGAGGTGTAACAGGCGTAAGTAAGTAAGTAAGCAGGTAAGTAAGTAAATAAGTAAATAAGTATATTCTATAGAATACGTAAGCTTTTGTTAAGAATACAGTCTACATTAAGTTAGCGAAATTCATATAAAAGTTCAAACAGATTCATAGACCATAGTCATTCACTCGTTATAATTAAATTTTATGCCTGATCTTAATGGTATATGTACTTAATGGCTAACAGTAGTAATGTAGTGAACAAAACACGACCGGCGACAATCTCACTATCTCACTAAATTCTGATAACCATACAGTAATCAGTTAATTTGCAAAATAACAATCAATTGTCACAATCTTCACTGTTTCTTCTGTAAATAACAGTTCATCTTCTCTAATCCCATTTTTCATGCATTTTCCTACCGATTGCGCTTCATTACAGTTCTTTCCTTCTGCCAAAATACATTCCATGCCTGACCATCATCATACACTACTTAAATCGATGTAAGTAGACCACACACTATATTACACGATCTTTTATAATCAATCTATTTAACTATAAAGACATATGAACGAATTTGAACTAACCAAAGTTACAATAAAAGTCTGGTTCATTGAATTAGTAAAAGAATATCATACCTTATAAAATATAATACACTAGTGTTTTCGATGGAAATTAGTTATAGTTATGGATTATCAAACATCTCATCATGCATACAAAGTTTGATATATTGTAGTAGAGGGATACAAAAAGAGTCCAGTAAACATGATACCGAATAAGTATTACCGATGATAAGCAATAAGATATATCGGTGGATGGTGGTTCATTAGTTAATATGTCATGGTATATGCATAAAGGGATAGATGAATAACATTAATTCATACACCAGTTATCTTACTCATTGATTATAATCATTATAGATAGATAAATAATGATAATACTACTAATAATAATGAACGTGAGGTATTGAAAGTTATGCGACTGAGTTAATAATCTGCTAGCAATGTATGGAAGTATACATTATTATATGAAAAAAGGAGCTATTGATGAGTAAATTACCGTGAACTATACGCAGTTAAGCAAAGATAGATAGTGATTAACAGTGGAATCCAATTTGACTCGCCTTTCGTCTTATTTGGGACTTGTTAGCTGGATGTACTTGCATCTCAGAGTTGATGTTCACTCTTTGAGACTCGAACCCAGTACCATTCATTTTTGATTATAATCCTTGTGAACTATGGCTTTATCAAGGTAATACGCACAGTATGCACATATGCCAATAAGTGACTGTCCAGTTGCAGTCCTAACAAATCG